GAGTGCTGTGACCTTGGCCATATTATTTAACCCTCAGTTATTTCATCTGTAAAATGAGACTCATGATAGTTTTCTTGATGTGGTACTGTGAGCTAAGCACGGGACTTCTAACCACAGGTCAGCTGTTCAAACCCACTATCTACTCCTCAGAAATCCTATATAGGGTTTCTATAAGTCAGAACTGACTTGGCAGCATTGTTTAGTGCTTTCAAGTCAGTTTGACTTATAGAGACAATGATGGAATCCTGGTGTGATGCTGTAAGATAAGCATGGGAATGCTGACCAAAAGGTTGGAGGTTCAAATCCACCAGATGCTCCTTGGAAACATAATACTGGGTCTCTATGAGTCAGAAGTGACTTGATGGTACTTAACAAATTGGGTTAATATAGAATTAAGCATAATTATATAAATAACGAATTTAGCAATGTTCTTAGCACCAAGTAAGTAATTGTTCCTATTACAGCTATTGCTATTAATACTAACATGATCTTACATCAAATTTTAGCGTCTTGGTATAGCACTATAGAATATGCACAGAACCGCAGGGCTGACTTGAATCATTATGCCGGCAGTGGTTCAAGCCCACAAGTTGCTCCTCAGAAACCCTAATGAATCGAAACTGACTTGACAATGTTTAACAACAACATACCAAATCTTATCAGAAGCAGTTGTCTCAGTGTCTCTGTCAGGAAAGACTCACAAGTATGGTCTTTAAAAGAACAGCTGTGGCCATTAGTGATGTCTGCCACAGGGAATTGTTAGAGAGAATTATAACTGTGGGGCCTATAACTGCCACCCCAACTTTAAGGGCAGATCAAAACTTTTCCCTTCCTCACACCTTTCTCAGCAATTAGATGTTTCTGTAAGCATGAAAAATAAAATGGAGTGCACAAGACCATGTTCTAGAGCCATCACAGTGACCAAAATATTTTCAATAGAAGAAAATAAACAGTATCTTCCTTTCTTAGGCTATTGTTTTTAATTTCATGTGACTGGGTCATAAGATCAGGAGGCCAGTCAAGATCAACTGGCATCTGGAGGAGAGGAGACAATGGAACTGAAGGCTGAAGCCTTGGGCAAGAAGAGCATGTTTTTACTTTGTAACTAGTATGGTGGTGGTATTGGTGGTTATGTGCTATGGAGTCATTTAGACTGATAGCAACCCTGTATAGGATTTCCAAAGAGCAGCTGGTGAGCTGCTTTGCAGTCTAGCATATTAACCCACAGTGCCACACCAGAACTCCAATGGGTATGGTAGGAAAGTCAAATAGAGCCAATCCCACCAGGCCAGGCCTAAAGGAAAACATGAGTAGGCAACATTCACTAGTTATTGTCAATAATCTAGTTTAATATCCAAACAATGAATAAGGATGACTGTAGAAGAATTGATGCATGTGAGTTATGGTGTTGGATTAGAATATTGAAAGAACCGTAGACTGCCAGAACAAACAACAAATATCTCTTGGGAGAAGTACAGCCACAATGTTCCTTAGGAACAAGAGTATTGAGACTTTGCCTCTCAAAATTTGGACATGTTGTTAGGTACTAGTCTCTGGAAAAGGACATCACATTTGAAAAAGTAGAAAGGTCAGTGAAAAAAGAGGAAGACCCTCAACAGGATAGACTGATGTAATGACAGAAACAATGGACTCAAACATAGTAACAATTGTGATTGGGCAATGTTTCATTTTGTTGTGCAGGGGTTTGCTATGAGTCAGAACTAACTCGATGGCACCTAACATCAACAACACTTTAATGTCCTAGGATGGTACAAATGTTTTGCACTGAGGTGCTATTTTAAAAATTTGGCATTTTAAATCCACCTAGCAATGCTGTGGAAGAAAGACCTGGCAATTATTTCCATAAAGATTGTAGCCAAGAAAATTCTATGTGCCGTTTTACTCTGAAACACTGATCACCATGAGTCAGGACAGAGACTTGATATAAACAGATTTTATTTTTAATTGAGTTTTTTCAATGGCCAGAGTAAACATCAGGATTTTGAGTTGATGTATTAAAGTGTGTTCACTTTTCCCAGGCCATATGTGAGGAGGCTTCAAAAAGTTCATGGAATAATTTCATTCTCTTTTAATTCCGTTTATCCATGAACTTTAAAAACAACAACTGTGAATTGAGTGACGGTTTCCTGAGCAGACCATCAATTTTACATTCAACACATCACATACTTCATTTTATCCCAATGACTGTACTGTCCTCAGTATAATGTTACTTATCCACTTCCTCTTTATTTTTAGTGATTCCATTCTTTCTTTCCTAGGCCTTTCTGAATTTTGTCCTTAGGAAAATGCTGTCCTTTTAATCTCTGATGGCTGACAAAAGTAGAGTTCTGGAGTGGCAATCCTTATTCTAGATTTAGTTGACCAAGTGTCAGGCTTAACATAAGCACTTACCAGGAATCCTTAAAGGTAAGCTGAAAGTCCAATGTGGCTGTGACCTACTATGACAACCTCATATATCAGGCCATAGCTTGTAGTTGTTTCTTTTTCCCACAGACTTGACTATGGGGTCTCAAAACATAGCTCTGAGATTTTACCAAGTTCATTTATTTATCAACATATCTGGTGTTGAGTGATTCAGTGAAACCCATTGATGTAAAATCTGTTGACAGCTTATGGGGTCCCTGTAAGGCACAGTTAAGCACTTAACTACCAGCTGGAAGGTTGTAGATTTGAACCCACCCAAAGGCACTTCAGAAGACAGGTCTAGTCATCTGTTTTGAAAGGTCACAGCCTTGAAAACTCTAGGAACAGTTCTACTCTGCACACAAGGTGACACCATAAATCAGAACAGACTCAACAACAGCCAGCCACTATAATAAGCCTGGGAACAAGTGGTGCTCTTCAATGGTGACCAAAGGTTACACCCCTCTGCTAGTGAAGAGTGGGCACAGGGACTGTCCCTGGCTTAAGACTGTTTACCAAGCTTGTGTGTCTTATGCTGGTTCATATTATTCATTAATTTGTTTTCATTTCTATTCTTCCAATCCTTCTTGCCCATCCTGTCCTTGTAGCAAAATCTAAATAAAATCTCTGTGATTTTGTTCTTGTCTGTATTGGCCAGTGGAATTAGATTAAGGCTCTAGTTTAATTTGAACCTCAAAGTTGTCTGCCATCTAAGAATCTCTGAGGTGAACTAACACCTTACAAATATATCCTGCAGATAGGTCAAGTGTGTCTAACTTTACCTTCTGCCTGACACTGCACTCGTTACTTACAGGCAAATTAATTCACAGAAAGTGATAAAATACTTTCCTGACAGAGCCACCTTCCCAGAAAAGTAACCTGACTTGACTCCCTTTGGTGCATCTCTGCTGACAGTCAAGGTTGAATTCCATTAACCAACTCATTAGGCAACTTATAGTCTGCCTCTTGTTTACGGTTAGACTCTCATTGAAGTCATGTTATCTCACTGAGAACTCAACGGGATTTACAAGTACTCAACCATGGCTTATAGAGCCAGAGGCCAAGGCAACATAATTCCCTCAGTACTAAATGTGTCCGATGCCTAAGAGGGATTTATGTTTCCCAGTCACATACTCTCAAAAGTGTAAATTGGGCATTTGAGATACTCATCTAACTCTATATGAGTTCCAGAAAGCAACAAGTTTATCAGAGTCTGCTGAGTAGTATGCCTATAAGCATCTGAATATTGATGCCCTACCATTTTGTAATCCATTCCTTAGAATATTTGTGTGAGGAGTCTGTGAGGTAGTACATTACATGGATGTCTCTTGGAAGTTCTCTTGCAGTACTTCACAGATGTTGTGAGTGGAAATCATATTCAAATCTCCTGAACACACCAGGTGCACTCTCACTTCACTTTCATTGCCTTTTTCTCCTGTACCTATAGTGCTTTTCCCCCAGAGATCTAAATGTTCACTCCCTGGAAGAACTTTATTCAGATAGCACCTTGCCAGTGTTGCCTTCAATGGCATAGAATTCCTTCCCTGAATTACTTCCCAAATCTCTTGTCACTGCATCTCCTTAAGCTTTCTCTGACATACCCTCCATGTTACTTATGTATTTATCCTGGTTATTGACAATCTTCTCCACTAGAATAAGCCCTGTTTCATCACCATAGTGTTCCCAGCACTTAGGACAGTGTCCAACATAGAGCTGGTTCAATCAGTATTTGTTCACTGAATCAATTCTATGAGAGTCTTCAAAAGTTGATGGACAAAACGAATCCATTATTTTTATCCCATTTTCCCACTAAGTTTTTAAAGCCCTCTAGTATTTATGTTGTTGTTGTTAAGTGCCATGGAGTTGGCTCCAATGCATAGGGACCCTCTATCGTGTTTCTGAGGAATGACTGGTACATTTAAACCACTGACCTTGCGAATGACTTTGCGATCCAGTGCTTATCCTACAGTGTCACATGTATTTATGGGAGTCTGATGATCTTTGTAAGGTATCTGTTTAGCAGCAAAAGAAGTGTTGAAAACCAAAGAGCAACAATGGAGCCAAAAGAGGCTTGGGATACATAGGGATAGTTGACTAAACTCTGAGCAAAACTCAAACTACCAACAGGCAAAAAAAGCTTTTTTCCCTTGAAACCTCTGTGTCTTTTGTGACCGATTTCTGACAGCGTGGCTGGGAAGATTTTATAGGGAATAGAGAGCAGCAACTCCTAAGCTGTGTCATCATGGTGGCCAGGTGTGTCAAGTTGGGCTTGAAGCAAAAGGTTGGTATGGTACTCTGCTACTTACACATTCCTCCTGAGATAAGTAAGCTATTTCAATTCCAAGGGCTGTCGAGATTTAATTCCAAAAAGGTGAAACATTTTCTTCCCTCACCAAGTAGTTGTGAGATAATATTAAAATAATAATAATAATGTATTTGAATGACTTTTTAAAAAATATCACCAACAACAAAACAGAAAACCTGAAATTGTGAGACACTTTCTACTTCTCCAGCCATATCCAATCCACTCACCCCTCTTATCAGTCAGTGGGGATCTGTAATTCAACTGTACTCACTGTGGCCAGAAGGGAGTCCAAAAAGCTGCCTGAAAAGACGGCTCCTGTAGCAAAAGAAGTGCTAAGATGCAGGTTTGTTCCAGGAAGGTTTCCTTTTAATCCACCAAGCTGTTCAATAAAGTGGACATTGGAAGGATTTTCTGCAAGGCAAAAGAAGGGAAAAGAATGTAGGAACTGCTCTTGCAAACGAAACTAAGAAAGACCACTTGATCAAAGGAGTTGAAGCCTACTTTGGTGTCTCTCTGCAGTATCCCTACTGCAGCACAATTTTTTTCTTTCTAAAAGACATGTGTCCCTCATGGATACCCATCATCATCAAAGGATATTCTTTTACCTCAGACTGTTTCTCCAGGGGAGTTCTAGATATATATGTGATTAGAAATAATTATTATATATAAATATGTATGGACATAGGATCAGCACAGTTATAGTAGTTACTATACTATCCTATGGGTAAGAGACTCAAAGTTGCAATGAATAAGCACTCAATTGCAAACAGAAATGTTAGCAGTTGGAACACACTCAGCAGCTTTGCAGGAGAAAGGCCTCAAAATCTCCTCCTAAAAAGTTCCATAGAAAACCACAGATGACGGTTGTATTTTGTCACATAGGGTCTCTTTGTGTAAACACTGACTAGATGGCACCTAACAACATGCTATGGGTGACGTGATATTTTCTTGAGTTTCTAAAGCTATCTGGTTCCAGAGTGAGTTAAGTATGCGTGTATATCCATCACCTATTATAATATAAATTTTGACTCACCAGATCAAAGGTGAGATCTGAAAGTCTACATTTCCAACAAGCTCCTGGAAGCTTCTAAGTCATGGACAACACTTCAAGGGTTTAGAAACCACTTGTTTTTAAGTGCCATTGAGTCAGTTCTGACTCATAGAGACCATGTATAGGGTTTCCAAGGAGCAGCTGGTAAGCCTGAACTGTTGATCTTGCAGTTTAAACCAACCTTGCAGTCCAGTGCATTAACCCTAGCCCCACACCAGGATTCCAGAAACCAGTACTGTAGTGATTAAATTACCTATTAGTATATCTATTTTGGCCCAAGGATATAACTCAGATGTCTGTGGAATTCCTTGGAGGTCAGTACAGCAATTTTTTGCTAGAAATGCAATCATGGCACTTCCTGCCTTTGTTCTAGATACTATAACTTCAAAGATGTGTATAGAGAGAACAGCATTGCAAGGCACTGATAATGTTTCACACCAGAGCAATAGGCATGCAAACTTACGGCCCATCATAAAAGGTCCTGGTTATCTAAGCTTAGTGTTCCTCTTGTATAAAACTGTCCACTCTAGGTGCAGGTTTCACTTGATGCTTTTCACATCGCTATGTGGGAACTGGGTCCAGGAAACCAACACAAAAATGATGCCACTTTGGCTGTTGTTGTTGCTGTGAGTAATAAACTCCCTTTTATCTATGACCTGGCGGTCTTGTGATCTTTGCCAAGGGAATGTGGCAAGTTAAATTGTGAGTTTGCCAGTAGGATGACATTTCACATACTTCCTGGGTCTTGAAGTTATATTGTGTTGTTGTTGTGTGCCGTCGAGTCGATTCCGACCCATAGCAACCCTGTACAGGGTTTCCGAGAGTGTAAATCTTTACGGGAGTAGAAAGCCTCATCTTTCTCCTGCGGAGCGGCTGGTAGTTTCAAACCACTGACTTTAAGGTTCGCAGCCCGATTTGTAACCACTACGCTACCAGAGCTCCTTATATTGTAGGTTCATACAAATCAACAAAACACACGATTTACAATGTATTCCTTACTAAACTTGGCTGATTCCTAATTCCTTAAATCATTCCTTAACTCAATTTGGGAGAAATGGCATACAGGTGGGATTTTCTTCCAAGAAAAGTTACATTTTTATAAAATCCATATGTCCTAATGCTGTTGTTAGGTGCCATCGAGTCAGTACCAACTTATAGTGACCCTATGCACTGCCCAGTCCTGGGCCAACCTCACTATTATTGCCACACTTGAGCCCATTGATGCTGCCATTTTGCCAATCCATCTCACTGGGGGGTCTTCCTCTTTTTCTCTGACCCTCCACCTTAACAAACATGATATCCTTATTCTCCAGCGACTGTTCTCTACGGACAATGTGTCCAAAGTATGAGAGACGAAGCTTAGCCATCTTGGCCTCCAAGGAGCACTCTAGCTGCACTTCTTCCAAAACAGATCTATTGGTTCTTTTGGCAGTCCATATTCTCCTCCAACACCATAACACAAAAACATCAATTATTCTAAAGTCTTCCTTATTCACTGCTAGCTTTTGCATGCATTAGCAAAAATATTATACTTAAGCCAAAGTCAAAAATATTATACTGAAATGTGCAAATTTCTTGAGTAGAAAAGGCAAAAGGAAAGAACATAATCAACATTTCTCAAGATGAGGGAACTGAAGAAACAATCCAAACCTCAACTTGCAATACTGAAGGATTCTATGGGGAAAATATTGAATGATGCAGAAAGCATCAAAGAAGACGGAAGGAATACACAGAGTAACTATGCCAAAACGAAATGATTGTTGTTTAACCATGTCAAGACGTAGCATATGATCAGGAGACAATGACACAGAAGGAGGAAGTTGTCCAAGGTGAACTGAGGCATTAGCAAAGAGCAAGGCTCTGGCTGTTTATGGAACACAAATTGAAATATTCTACCAAACTGAAGCAGCACTGGAAGTTCTCACTTATCTATGCTAAGATAGTTGGAAGACAGCTATCTGGCCAACTGATTGGAAGATATCCATATTTGTGGCTATTCCAAAGGGAGGTGCCCAACAGAATGCAGAAATCATTGGACAATAGCATTGGTATCTCAAGGAAGTCAGAATTTCTAAAGATAATTTAAAAATGGCTGCAACAGTACATTGAGAAGGAACTGCTGGAAGTTCAAATTGGATACAGAGAATGACATGGAGCAAGATATATCATTGCTGATGTCAGATGGGTCTTGACTGAAAGCAGAGAATACCAAAAAGATGCTTACCTGTGCTTTATTGACAATGCAAAGGCATTTTGCTGTGTGGCTCATGATAAGCTGTGGATGTCATTGAGGGCATGAGTATTGCAGAACACTTAATTGTGCTCATGAGAAATCTGTACATAGACCAAAAGACAGTTGTTCAAACAGAACAAGGGAACACTAAATGGTTTAACATTAAGTAAAGTGTGACAGACTTGTATACTTTCACGATGCTTATTCAATCTGTATATTGAGCAAGTAATCCAAGGAGCTGGATTATATGAAGAAGAATGTGGCAGGCATGAGGATTGGAGGAAGACTTATTAGCAACTTTCGATATGCAGATGATACAACCTTGCTTGTTGAAAGTGAAGAGGACTTAACATTCTTACTGTTGAAGAACAAAACCACATCCTTTGACATGGGTTGTACCCTAATATAAAGAAAACAAAAATACTCACCACTGAACCAATAAGTAACACTAAGGTAAACAGAGAAAATATTAAAGTTGTCAAAGACTTCTAGCTTTAATCAACCATCAACAGTCATGGAAGCAGCAGTCAAAAAAAATCAAATGATGTATTGCATTAGGCAAATCTACTGCACAAGACCTTTATAAAGTGCTCAGGAGCAAAGATGTCAGTGTGACGACTAAGTTGTGCCTTACCCAAGCCATGGTATTCTCAGTAACCTCATATGCCTGTGAAAGTTGAACAATTTATAAAGAAGACTGTAGAATAATTGATACATTTGATTTATGGTTTTGAAGGAGAGTATCAAAAGTGTCATGGACTACTGAAATAACTAACAAATCTATGTTGGAAGAGGTACAGCCAGAATGCTCCTTAGAAGCCAGTCTTCATTTCTCATATTTCCAACATATTATATCAGGAGGGACCAGTGTCTGGAGAAGTACATCATGCTTGGTAAAGTGGAGGGTCAGAAAAACAGAGGAAAATCCCCAGTGAGATGAATTGTCACAGTAGCAGCAACAATTGACCAAGTGTAGCAATGATTGTGAGGTTAACAGAGGACCAGACTGCATTTCTTTCTGTTGTGCATAAGAGCACTCTGAGTAGGTACTGACTGTTGTTGTTAGGGGCCATTGAGTCGCTACTGACTCATAGCGACACACTCACAGCAGAACGAAACACTGCCCGATCTTGGGCCAACCTCACTACTTTTGTCACCCTTGAGCCCATCAATGCTGCCCCTTGGCCAATCCATCTAGCTGGGGGTATTCCTCTTTTTCTTGGAAACCTTCACCTTCCCAAACATGATATCCTTCTCCAGCAACTGGTCCCTCCTGACAATATGCCCGAAATATGAGAGACGACGTATGGCTATCCTGGCCTCCAAGGAGCACTATGGCTGCACTTCTTCCAAAACAGATCTGTTGGTTCTTTTGGCAGCCCAAGGCATTGTAAATATTCTCCTCCAGCACCATAACTCAAAAGCATCAATTTTTCTACAGTCTTCCTTACTCACTTTC